TAAAAGACTGAATTAGATAGCTAACATTATAGTGTAATGAATCAACATATAAATCCACGTTCCTATCAGTCAAGACAATTAGGTGACTGTCCAAGCTTACTTGAACCTGGGCGTTGCCTTACATTCATCTTGGAAGACACACACGTATTTCTTCAGGGGCATTTTTAGGAAAAATAGTGCGTCTTGTAAGCCGGAAAATACGGTATGGTATATATTATCATCATCATATATATATATATATATATATATATATATATATATATATATATATATATATACGTTACGTATTGGTTTCAAAACATAGTAATTTTTGTGTCGCGATGGAACATTTTTTAAGTAATTATAATATTATGCTCTACTTTGTATCGAGCACTGTCTTTTTTTAAAATAAAATAAATGCTAAAGAACTCTGGATTATAAATCTGATTGTTTTTTTCTTATTATTTGAATATATATATATATATATATATATATATATATATATATATATACCTCCAAAGAAACGCGATACCTAAGGCTTAACATGAATTTTTAAAAAAGAAAAATTCTTTCTTGAAGCTATTATTTTATTTTTAATTTCAGATTTAATCTCCAGATTAAGCGCTTTATCACGGCGACTGTACCAAGATCTGTTCGGTGGCAGTATAAATCTGGAACTGTTGAAGTAACACAAACTTGTCGGAGCATTCATTAGCAACATGTAATATCCAGTTACCTGAGTAGATACCATCGTCTCTCGGAACTGACGGATGCCTACATTATAACACTGACAGCCCGAATCGATCCGGGGTCTTTCGTACGCAGATCAACTGACGGTTACCTGTTGACCGCTTTATTTCCTCAACTACTCTGTCGCACGTTGTGATTGATTGATCACAGTGTAGTGAAGATCGAACTTTCGTCCGCACTTAAGCGCTGAATCGAGTTGGCAGAACCTGTTGGAATTTTTTGGTAGCCTGTGGTACTAATGAGCCAGCCAAAATGAGCTGACTCATTTTATAGTTCACCAATAGAAGGGTTAACCAATCAGAAGGCTCAGAATATTCAATGCGACATGTATAAAGGCGGACATGTTTTTTTTCAGAATATTCACTGCCAACCTCTGATATCGAAGACCTGAAGAATTACTGAACAGCTGCTACTTTCTCCGAATATTTACTGCCAACCTCTGATATCGAAGACCTGAAGAATTATTGAACAGCTGCTACTAGTGATATTGGCGTTGTTCCATTGAAAACATTACGTACTGCACTGGATTCTATATTCAAAGACTACGGCAAACATGGTCAACAGAACCGTGCTATGAAAACCAAAGAACAACGATACCTCCGCTGGTGGAAAGACAAATATAATAAATCACGAAGAAAGTCGCTGGGTTAATTTTTCAGTTGGTTTTATATAATGATTGTTACACAAAATTAACCCTTTCCGTAGCAAGGAATCTTCTGTTTACGCTTGGAGCGGGCTAACCATTACAACGCGGAATTATGTCGGTCGGGTATTCCAGTTATCAATTCTTCACGTCAGCCATTTTCTTGTCCGGCTCGACGTCAGCAATACTCTTCTCGTCAGTTCCCTTCGACAGAAGGACACGTGACTTCTTACGGCATCGCCGGTTCATCGCCAGGCTTGAGCACCTTTGGGTCGCTTGTCGCTCAGCTGCGACTGCTCCAACTTTTCGCTCCAAATCACTCCTAGGATTCAAGCAGCGTAGTGTTAACGTTGACCACGCCTCCAGATTCATTAATATTCATTTTCCTCGACCTTGGATTGACAACACCTGACTCTTGATAATGGGTCAACTATTTAAAACAATATAACTTTTGTTTTTATATTCCTTTGTTACTCCACAATTATTGTTTACGAATTAGTTTTTGTATATAAAAATTTATTCCACATCAGCAAAGAATTCACTCTGCTTTTAGAAATCCTTCTCTTTATTCAACAATAATTTCTTGTCCTCAATAAATTCGACCCAAATATTGCTTATGTCGATCGGCTGTTTTATCAAACCAAAAACAATTTCAAATCGGCTAAAGGAATTTATCCATGTTTAACAAATAATTATGAAATCTTATTTTCCAAAACAGCCGATTTCAAATCCCATTGTTTTATATTTTGCTTTTTAAATAATTTTCTGCGCTGTCAAGGAAATCATGCTTCATAATTATTTTTCCGACCTCATATCGCAATGTTTTCACTTCGATAATTTCCACATTACAGCCCTTCTAATGCTTCAGTTCAATCCGGGGTTCTCACATGAACCCTTTTCTAAATCCTATCTTATATTACTTCCAACTACTACTAGTGACACTTTAATAGTGTCACAACATTATAGATATAGGAAAGGCGCTCTGAAAGTAATTATTGCCACGGAAACTCACAGTAGCACCGTGACATCGTTAGATAAAGCAAGAAAAACTTTTTCACTGCCACTGACAATGTATTTTCGCCAAAGTTGAGCATGAATTTGCATGTCGCCATCGTAAACACAACTTGTCATAAACATCGCTGTCACCACCGGGAACACATTACCACTTGACTAACTGTGCTCACATAGTTTGTTTGGTCAGCGTAAACGTTAAATGGGCACAGTTTTGCCACATAGAGAAATCTAATTTAAAACCGCTGTCTTCACACTGCTCCTCGATCATTTGAACAGGAGTACAGGTTTATCCCTTGTTTCCTGTTTAGGACTGGCTTTCCGGTTCTGGGTTTCCTAAAATCTGCTTCAACTCTGTACTCCTAACGCTTGTTCTTTCTTACGCTGATGTTTCGCAACTCCACAGAGTAACCCTCTACCTTGAGTGACTTTTGGATCTTGTTTTGGGTGAAAATTAGTAAAAATAAAAAATAATTCATATCAGACGTTATTTAATCAGATTGACACTCAAAGCCCTAAAATAGAAAAGGTTATTGGTGGAAATGTACAACATCTACTGCTGTACTAGCATCCAGCAGGCATTTCTTTCGGATCGATTACATAATGTGTAATGAATTACTTCTGCTGCATGTCTACTTGCAGAAAGTGTAAAAAGACTGTGTCTAATTTAAATCGACAGGAAGAGATTTTTTTGTTGCTAAAATAGCTGATTAGCGCCCTTTTTTTAGTTGTCTTTCATCGCAATGAAATTCTCTTTATTAAAAAATCTTCCAAAAATAAGATATACTTTTCTGAAACTTTATTTGAGGGATATTTGCTGATTTGAAGTTTAATTAATCTGATTTGAAACAAATATTATTGACTTTAAGTTTAAAATATCGCAGAAATGCATTTTTACACGACAGTAGCTGTTTTTTTTAACATGACAGTAGTTGTTGTGTTGACGGGCTAGGAAAATATTCTCTGTAATCAAATGTTTTATTGAATTTTAGAAATTTGGGCTTTAAATTTACATTATCACATTTTATCACACTTATTTTCTGATAATGCCGTGTATGGTCACTCGTACTTACAGAAAACAGCACGTTTATACAGACACAATACATTCAAAATTCATTTAAATATATTGGTGTCAACAGATTTATATTAAGCCTTTCTATTTATGATTAATAAATATAGTTTTAATTTTGAGAGATTTAAAATATAATAATTTTTTAAAATTACAATTAAAAGAAAATGAAAAGATTTCCTGTAAAAATTCATTATTCACTGGATTTTTGTTTTTTGAGTCAATAGTGTCCTTAAGATATCTTAATTATAAAAATTATGAAAAGATTTTCTAATAAAATAATGCAATAGTTTTATTGCCTTTTTATTTTACGATTCAGAGTAGATTTTCAGTAAATGGTGTTAGCGTTTGACAAAAACAAATTGATGATTTTAATTCTCCAAGGAGTCCTGCTTTTAAGCGATGACTTTGAATGAATTCACCGTGAAAGAGAGAAACTCTGTTTGTATGCGTCTCTGTGTGTGTGTGTGTGTGTGTGTGTGTGTGTGTGGTGGGAAGTAGGTGAGCTAACAAGATTAATACCTTGGCTATATTTACTCCGAGGTACCGGTTTAAAAATACTTCAAACCCGTCCCTCTCCTTAGCTTACATATAGACAACCGACCAGATATATAATATATATATATATATATATATATATATATATATATATATATATGTATGTATGTATGGATGAAGGGCGTGTATATTCCTTTCCAATTAGAAATTACAGAGATTAATCCTTCTTATTAACCTAATTAGATGGTTTTTGTGTATGCTCCCAGCCAGTTATCACATTCTTTCAGGCTAGGTAGTGAAGTTATTCACAAACATAAACACACGCGTACCGCATTATACAAGGGTCGCTCCGAAAGTAATATCGACGATTTTATTGCGACATGACGGCAGATCTAGATGGTAAGGCTGTAGAGATCGAATCTTCTTGCCAATAAGCCATAATGGTTTCCCTTATTAACAAACAACAGTAAAATAGCATCTGACACGAAAAGAGGGCACCCATTGACATTCATCGACTCCTGCCAAACGTTAATGGAAACCAAACAGAGGATGTGAACAGTTATGTGTTGGTAATATATAGTCAATAGTAGGGTCCCTGGAGAACAATGTCGCAGTAAATTTGTCCTATCTAATGGTGTTATAGACCAGGATTTATTGTAATTTCCTAGAAAATAAATAGGAATCATTTCAGTGTGCCCATTTTCATCTATCTATCTATCTATCTATCTATCTATCTATCTATCTATCTATCTATCTATCTATCCTCCTGGGTATGACGATAAACTTCACCCGGCAGTAAGGCCTGTGATCGGGACATCGGAGTTTTTGAGGAGCGAGGGACGGCATCTTAATTGCAGTTGTTCCCAGTCCACCCTGCCCCTGGTGGTAACACCAGTTAGGGTCCCAGCTATGAACCCCTAAATAAAAATAAAACACTATGAAAGTATAAAAATACATTTTATATTAAAAATACCAGCAATACATTTTATACAAAAAAAAATTACCAACAATACATATTTATAGTCAAATTATCTTAAAGCAAAATGACCAACAATATATTTTATTTAATTTGAAACCATAAAACTGTCTTCAAAATGTTTTCATAAAGGTTGATATGCCACTAAAAGAAAATCAAACAACCAACAAGAAAGACATTAATCAATATAATATCCTACAATTTCTACAAGAAATCAAACTGTATTTCAAAATATGACTTCAACAAAGCCAAAACAAAAATATCACGGCCTCCAGTAATTATATCCACACAAACATGTATTTGCACAAAGCCTGAGTATTATCTACCATGTATTCAGTTGCGAAAGCAGAATAACATCTATCATATTTTATTACTTCAAAGCTCCTAAGAAAATTAAAATTCGGCATTGGATGACCCATAATGAGTTGACATGTTGTTAAACAAACAATTCTATCTATCTATCTATCTATCTCTATCTATCTATCTATCTATCTATCTATCTATCTATCTATCTATCTTAGCTTTTGAATTCTAGTTAATTGGAACACAGCGAGAAAAAATAATTAAGTTCCATTATATAAACAATTTAAATAAATGCAGTTTCAGTTTTCGTATAAATTACGTTGGGAACATAAACATGGCTGTTCTGCTATTTAACCCATAGATGAGGGAAGATAGATTCATGCCTTTCCCTGGGACATTAGTGCGAAGTGAATGAAACAGAATCGATCAGAAATTGATAATCGGCTCGTCGATTTCACTATCCACGCTTCCTCGGAATTTCAATTTTCAAGATTTTAATTTAAAAAAAAAAAAATAATATTGAATTTTTATAAATCATAGAGTTAACAGGGTTACTTAATATTCATAAGCGTTTAAAGCTGTATTGAATGCTTTCTGCTTTGGTGTTTTTATTTCTATCAAGGGGAACAGTTGCACTCCGAAAAAAGCTCTTTGCTTTAAACGCCGGTTGGTACTGAATAGAGGTATTTAGCGACCCCCCCGCACAAGGGTTACATGTGGCACAAGGCCGGGTTTAATGTGGGATTTCCGAGCCCGTAGGCTAGACCAAAAATATACCCTCTTTGAATCCGCATAAACGGGTTCAGGAGCAAGTCAACCACCCCGAACGAGACTCTGCCCTTCGGCGGAGCCTTGTCCGGGTTCCTCTCCGCCCGAAAGCAGAGAGTTAGACTGTTATTTAGCCCAAATTAGACTCGCCCTAGATCTAAAGTAGAACTCAAATAGACGATCCATCGCTACAGATGCTGTAAAAATGTTCGGTTTCTTGTATTGTTGAAGAAAGTACCTAGCTTCTCTTTCTGCCTTGCGATTACAAGAGTCAGATCAGACTAAAGATATAGTATTCTGCTACATTTGATGATGTTCATATAAGACAAAACGTTGACACAAAAATGTAAAAAAAATTTAAACATCCAACTGGTTTTCGCATATTTCATACTAATTAATTCGGTCGGATATTTCATATTATTCATTTTATCGTCAGACTAAAGGTTAGAACATATTGTGAATTTATTCTGGCTTCTTTCGATTACGATACCGTATTGAGTTTTATTTCCCTGATAATAAGGTTTTAATTTATATATAAAGAAAAGAGTTTATGATCTGTGGCCAGACATTTTACTGCCAGACCATCGAGCTGGGGACAGTATTCATTATCGTAGGAGACTAAAACAACACAGGCGAAGATAATGTCAACAGACGACATCAGAAATTAGCTTGCAACAATGAAAAGAAGAAAAAGCAAAAGAAAAAAAAATGTCTGCCTGCCCCTTTATAACAATGATAAGCTTATTGCAAAAGTGACACAGGTTAATGAAATGTAACTTTTTCGAAGACGTTCAACAGGAAAAGGTTTGTGTGTGAGATATCTTTCGTGCAGACTGTTACTCACGCGTGATCGCATACAAAATAGAGGACACATTTCAACGATAATGCCCACCGTAAGATCAGGAATTAATCATAGAAATTATGAGAAAAATTATAGGTTTCTGCTTATAAACCATTTTTGGCATGGTGGATTTTAATAAATTAAAATATATATACGATTGCCATTATGTCTAAGTAGCGAGTTTGTAATGACACCAATTAATTTTTTTTTTATATTGGGTTGGAAACGAAGTTCCCATACAACTTTTAATAAAATATATATATAAAGTTGCGTTAGAACTTTGTTTCCAAGGCTGCAAAAGTAGGTATACGATAGTAAGTATTTATACCAGCATTAATATGTTCGTATAATCAATACAATACTTTGTGTGCACGTTTTGTTTTTAGTGTATACCTACTTTTGCACACACACGCACACACACTCTCTCTCTCTCTCTCTCTCTCTCTCTCTCTCTCTCTCTCTATATATATATATATATATATATATATATATATTATTTTAAATTAAAAATTCTCAGCGTCTCTTTCGTTTGCGTCACACGAAAACGTTTCCACTTTGTCATACGTCTTTCCCCTAATATCTATCTATCTATCTATCTATCTATCTATCTATCTATCTATATATATATATACATGAATCATTCATACAAAAAACAGATATAGAAGTATGAATGATTCATGTAATGTAAATTGAACTCCACCACATACTTGATATATATATATATATATATATATATATATATTATATTATATATATATATATATATATATATATCCTGACTCCAGAGTTTCACAGACGAGCCCTCCTGGAATTACTCCGTCCACTCGTCAGGGAATATAGTAATTCTTTTGATATCGCTATTATTTTACTTCGCCTAGCCATGACCAGCCTAGCCATCGTTCACATTGACTCACCAGATGCCAGTGGACGAGTGATATAGATGTGGACATCATACTGCGTCATATCAAAATATAATGACACCACCAACCATTTCATTTACATTGTCGACTATGTCTCTTTGTTTTTCTGTAGAATTAGATGGAGGTGTAACCATAAGATTTAGTTTAATAATTTCTTTTCTCGCACTTCTCATCTATCGAACTCTTTTTCCGATTTCTTGCTTCGCTGACATCTACAATCTTCAAAAATTATATTTTTTCACAATAATATTAACCCTGTACAAGGTTAGAGGATAAAATCGTTTAACATTTTATATTCTCCGACTTAAATGTCCGAGTTAAAAAAAAAAAAAGTCACTCATTTTCTTTCTCTTTTTGAGTCTCGAGCAACGTCAGGTTTGGAAAAATAATTACTTTAAGCACACACAAATATATTCCCACAAAATACATTTTTCGTTATGTCGGAGTTAACTCCTCCTTCACTCCGTTAACCCTTTCACCAGGAGTCTCTCTTCCCTGGCTATAAATAGCCGCTGACCCTTCACCTCTATCTATTTGGCCTTCAGGATTTCAGCTATCAATCTCGAAATGTAGGCGCTAACAAGGGATAGCGTGGAAACACGCTAAGCACAATATTCACACACGCACGCACATACAGCATATTCACACACGCACGCACATACAGAATATTCACGCACACTTCGTCCTTTGTACTGTTTCCATGTATTGTAACTTGTTATTAATATATATTTTTATATACATATATTATCGGTCTTGTGATTTGTTTGCTTTCTTTACCTTCTTCTTTGGACTTAATCAAAGTCCAACCTTTTTAAGTAGTTGGGCTCGGCGGGCAGGAGTATCTGAACCTTACTTGCGTTTCGTCTACGTCTGACTTCTATCAACAACAGCCACGCCATGAACCCTCAACAAGTGGTAACCGCCACGGCCACACTACAGTTATCCGTCTGATGAAGCCATCGAGGCGAAATGCATTATCGGATATTATTTTCGAAACATAGTTTCATGAATGTTTTCCCAATGTCAATTATATATATATATATATATATATATATATATATATATATATATATATTGAAAAATTCCATATCTGACTATCTGAAAACCGAATAATTTTAGTGTGGAGTGTCATGATCAGCCCGACTCCACCCATTACTCTTCCAGCCTGGCTGTAAGACCTGAGCTCGCTGAATATCAGTTGTTGTCAAGCGCTCGTATAGGATAGACGTGAATGTGATTTTCTTCTTTCCGCAATTTTTTGTGACTTTATACAGTAAAAATGTCAAAAAGAAGTGCAGATATTTTTAGTTTATCATTTGATGCTCTTCCTTTTTAAGTTATACAAGTCATTTTTTGTCTGAAATAAATCAAATGTATCTATTACTTACAGTCTTAATTATCCCTCTATTTCATTTATCAGTATATTACTCTATAAAAAAAAACTGTAATAATATTTATCCATGGTGGCGTGAGTATTCATATATTTTTGCTAGAATATTGTTTGAATTTCTGAAAGCAGAAAACTCAAAAAACCGAAACATAACTAGCCCTAAGGTTTTCGGATATGAGATTGTGTACCTCTCTCTCTCTCTCTCTCTCTCTATATATATATATATATATATATATATATATATATATATATATAGAGAGAGAGAGAGAGAGAGATTATAAATTAACTGATTTAAAAATATGGTTTCATCGCTACACAGGAATTACCATGTTTCAAAAAACAGAAAACAAAGACTTCAAATTCAATTATATTAAATTAAAAGCATTAGTTCTGTTTCATCTTCAAGCGAATTGAAGATGAAAGAGAACTAATGCTTTTAACACGGGGGCCTTACATCAAGTGTCGTGAGGAGGTAATGCTGCCCTTGGTCAAAAGGGTAGCTGCTGGAAGACCCTATGCCACACAAACAGAAGAACCCAGTCATGGCTGTCAGACAATGCGACTACATCACTTCTTACATCTGGTCACCTAACTCCCCAGACTGCAGCTACCTTGATTATTATGTGTGGAGTGCAGTTCGGCGAGAGATCAACAAAACTCCTTGTAACACTAAAGATACTCTGAAAGCAAGGATTATGACAGCATTCACCAACTTAGACAAGGAGACCTTTCAGAGACATTTGGAAGAGATTCGAAGTCGTTTCAAGGCCGTGGTTGAAGCCAATGGCGATTTTATTGAATAAATTTACTCTTTAGTATTTCAAGATATTTTTGTGTAATTTTGGTAAATATATCTGTTAAAATGAGATGTCAATATCATCTTTATTTTTGTGTAATTTAGTTGACAATTTATCCATCGCACCCTGTATATATGTTTAACTGAAGATCCCTGAAAACACAGATGCCGACTCACACAAAACATCATTAAACAGCAGAAAATATGAAGACAGACTCTATCAAAGTATGTATGATAACTGGAAATCCTGAAACGAAACGCACCAAAATAACATGGTGAATAAGTAAAAAGGCACCAGCTTGCATCAACAATTCAAAATGATGTTTGACTAGGGGATAAAATAGCGATAATTCCTGAACAAGATAATCTCCAAAACAAAATATCAGAAATCATTTCCAAATGCAGACAAGAAAACATATTCCTTCATCGCTACCTACAACGTCGTCATAACTAAAAAGACTAAATAAAATCACATAATCTAATTCAAATAAACTTCCCTCTTTATACCAAAACATAGCAACAAAGAAAAAATATGGCAAAGAAAATTATACAAAACAAATAAATATATAAACGAATAAAATGATAAATAATATATGAGTAAGCAAACATAACCATAATTTACCTAGCCTATTTACATACACACTTCCTCCAACCCCCCAAGCAGCATGAATAAGCAGGCTTGAGAGATAGATAGATAGATAGATAGATAGATAGATAGATAATGGACATCATGCGATAGAAAGATAGACAGGCAGACTGTGATAGATAGATAGATAGATAGATAGATAGATAGATAGGCAGACTGAGATAGATAGATAGATAGATAGATAGATAGATAGATAGATAATGGACACCATGAGGTAGATAGACAGGCAGACTGAGATAGATAGATAGATAGATAGATAGATAGATAGATAGATAATGGACGGACTGAGATAGATAGATAGATAGATAGATAGATAGATAGATAGATAGATAGATAGATAGATTGCCATGTCCAGACGGCGATAGATAAACAGCCCCTCTCTTAAACACTGCGATAGATACCACTAACTGTTCAATCATTAAAGCCAATAAGCGCGCGCTGTCCTAAGAACAATAAAATCAAATTAAAAACAAATTTATCAATGTTCACTTTTGACCTTGAGATGTGAGTGCGAACTGTTTATCTATTCTGTCAGTACATCATGAAAACCTGAACAACACAATCCACCACCACAGTAACAACAACAACAACGGCCACAAATAAAGCAACTGTGAACGCATTAGAAACAAGACCACTATCTCACCCGATCTTCTTTCATTACATCAAAACATAGACGTGTGTGATGGGTACATTTTTTTTTTGTTTTCTTTCGATCGGTTACTTCGCCTGTACCTTCAATACGTTCAGCTTAGATCTTAATAGCCACCTATATCTATTTATTTATTACCTTTGATTGTTGTCATCTTGGCAGTAGTCCAGAAGGTTGACAAATCATACGAATTGAAAACAGATGTTTATTGTCATTGAACAGAATGAACGCGATTGGCCTTTCACAAATCTTCAAGTTAGTCAGGATTTAAAGGTAGTTTTGACAGGCATTTACCCAGCTTAATATATTGTCTGGCACAACGCCACCTTTTGAGTACATCAACTAAAGATACAACCTGCTACATAACAAATAAGTAAAGCCCCCACCCAAAAAAAAGCAGACCCTGAACTTTCACCCATCATAATGAATAGGTTTTTCTTCCATGGAGGCACCTTCCCTTAAACGTCTATTGAGAGTCAATCTCTCTCCAGACCTCAATTGGAAATCATATATCCGATCTATTGCTAAATATGTTGGAAAAATGATCGGTTCATTGTACCGCTCCAGTAAGTATTTGACTCTCCTTACAAGAGCCAGATCAAGCCAAAAATGGAATATTGCTGCCATATTTGGATCTGGAGTTTCCCAGTCCTCACTTGTCTGTCTTGATAGAATTTAAAAACGTCCACATGGTCTTCTGGGTAATGAACCTAGCAGCTCATCTCTCCTTTCATCTAGCCCAGGTGACTCAATGGGAAAAGGATGGTCTTGTAAAATTTAATTCGACCAAAAACAAGCTAGTAACATTCCACCACCATCGAGCAGACCCCAAACTTTCACCTGTCATTATGGATGTGCCCTCTCTCAATGAGGCTCCTTTCCTTAAACGTCTACTGGGAAGCTCTCTCCAGACCTCAAGTGTAACTCATATATCCGATCTATTGCTAGAGAAGCTGGAAAAATGGTCGGTTCATTGTACCGCTCCTGTAAGTATTTGACTCTCCCTGCTGTACACTTATCTTTACAAGAGTCGGATCAGGCCAAAAATGGAATATTACTGCCATATCTGGGTTGTAGCTGTCATGTCCTGTCTTGTAGTTGATGCTTTATTTTCCTCCTTGTGACCCCTTTACCACAGACGAAACATCGCGAGTCTTTCGATGTTCTATCGCTATTTCCATGGCATGTGTTCTAACGCGCTACATTCCTTAGTGCCAACAGCCCTAACCTTTATAACTGATAAATGTGAATCATTCCCCAT